CTCCTGGGAAGAAGGGCATGGCAGTGTGACCCCGGGATCATGTACAGCCTCGGGGACCCCGTAGGGCTCTTGGGCTCTGCCCTGCAGGGGCGCAGTGAGTCTGAACGGATTCGGTGGTAGTAGGTTTGTGTGCTGTGCTAGGTTCATGGCAAAGGGGCGTTGTGGGTGTGACCAGAGTTAGGATGATCTGGGCCCCTTCCCCCCCATTCGAACCCCAGGGGTCCCTGATGCAGCTGGGACAGAAGGCACCCAATTGTCAAAGGGCTGCTGGCTTTGGCGAGGATCGGGCTGGGAGGCCCAGCTGAGGGTGATGGGTTTAGTCCGTTCCACTGGTCAGGGGCGCTCGGCCTGGTGAGGAGGCTCCGCTGGCACCATGGGGCATGGTGGCTCAGCCCGTACCCGGTGGGCAGGGAAGGGACCCTGGGCGACACCTGGAGGAGGCAGGGGGACAGGCAGAGCGTCTCGTGGGGCTTGATAGAGTCCCACCCAGGCTAGCATGGCACCTGCAGCAGGCTGGGCCTTCTCTTGTTGGTGGGCGATACCAGAGCCCAGCCTGGGACAGGAAATCAGACCCACAGGCCTTGGGGTTGCCTCCAATCACCCCCCAACCCCCACCTCCACCCCATCAGGCTGTGGCTAGCCCTGCCTCTGGGTTACAAGATCCTTGGAAGGACGGGCCACGGCCCTGTCTTAGACGACACCGCTGCTTCATCTGCAGGCAGCGCAGCAACTCACCCTGGAGAACCGGAGGGCAGCACCCAGCTGAGGCCGGGACTCAGTGTGTGACCACCACCCGGCACAGGAGGGTGGCTCTATCGGGGTCCCGGGAGACAGGCGTGAGCAGGCATGGCGTCACCTGGACTCCACACGCTGTTAACCTGCTGCAGGAAGCTGACAGGCAGAAGAAACAAGTGTCGCCAGCCTGTCTCCTCTTATCAGAATGTGCCCAGGCTGTCTCTGTCAGCGGTGACAGCCCTGCGGAATGGGCCACAGCGTCACATCCCAGAGGGTCCCTGTGACTTCAGGGGCCAGGGGTCACAACAGGAAAGGCTCCGAATTGACAGGCACGCCTTCGTTGATGCTTCTCTTGTTTGATTCTGCACCAAAGCCCCGCCCATCCCGGAAGATCCTTGCACCAAAAGGTGCCCCTGCCCCTGGGACCCAGGGGCTCCTACGGACTATGATGGCAACTGAAAAGGCTTGATGGGAAATGTAGGGCCAAACTCAGATGTTCCAGGGCAGGAAGAACTCAGAAAGGCCGGAGGAATGGTAGCCAGGCTCCAAGAAAAGCCGAGATCCAGTTTCCATACCGAAAGCGAGGGACTTTGATGGTGACCAGATGTGGCAGTTACATCATCTGCCAACTTGCAAAGGGGTGGAGTCTAGCTTGTCAATCAGGTTGCAGTGT